CCCACGACGCCGCGGCCACCGGCCACCTGGCCTGCCTGCAGTGGCTGCTGTCGCAGGGTGGCTGCAGAGTGCAGGTGAGTCCACAGCTCCCAGTGGCCTGGGTCCCCCCTTATGGTGTGGGGAGTCCGAGGATCCTGGGCTCCCTGAGCTAGTATTTCCTGGTAGGAGTGAGGCCCCATCCTGAGTCCTGGGGTGGGGCGGAATCGAAGCCCTGCTTATGACACTGGAGGGACAGGGCCACAGGTACCTAAGGCAGGCTGTGGGGCAAAGGTGGGGGCCTAGGTGTATCCCAGAGCACCGTTACTTTTGGGTCTCCCAGCTCCGAGTTGCCAATCACCCCAGCCGAAGTCCTCTGGGCCCCAGGTACTGTCAGGTCACTCGGAGGTAACCACCCCACCAGGAGCCCTGGCTGCTGAGGAGAAGGTAGCCAGTGACCGGCAGCACAGGCGACAAGAAGGTGCAAAGCCCTGAGCGAGGGGTGCACATGCCCATCCTGCTGCACAGATGGTAGGGAGGAGGCTGGGTTCAGGAATTTGAAGGGCTCTGGTGGGGTGGGGAGTGGACCCAGTTTCCCTTAGAGACACTGTGTTAACTGCAGGGGAGGGGAAAGGGGCAGCCCAGCTGGCTTGATGTCCCTGCTGTGGTATAGCCAAGCCCTGCCCACACCTCCTGCCCCGAGTGCAGGCCTCCCTTCCTGTCCTTCCTGGGCACCCTCCCTTATCTGCTGTCCACCCTCTTACCAGGGATGCTGGGCACTTGGCCCAGGCCTCCTCCTCCAGAGCCTCCTGACTCTCCAATGCCCATGGTCAGCCCTGGCTGGATGCCCTTTCTCCTCCCTAAACCTGGTGCCCAGCCCGGGCCGGAAGCCTCCCTTCCGACCGCACAAGAGGTAGAAAGAGCAAATGGCCTTGTGGCCAGCTTATCATGTCCCCTGCCCTTCAGCAGGCCTGGGTGCTAGGCCTGGAAGTGGAGGGATGACCTGGTCCTGCGAGCCCAGGGAGATAAGCAGCTTAGGTGGAGGCCATGGCATGTGAGGCTCCTGAGGCCAATGCAGCTGCTTTCGAGAGCCCTGAGCCTGGGACCCTGGGAGCCTCAGACCCAAGGCCCAGAGGAGGCCTTTCTCAAGAGCCAAGTTCAGGACACACCTTACCGTGGTCCTGCCTGAGTGGGTCACTCTACCAGCCCTGTCCCCTGGGCTCAGGGGACAGACTAGAGACCAGGCTCTGGCCTGCCCTGGACTTGCTTTTTCTTTTTCTTTTTCTTTTTTTTTTTTTTTTTCTTCTTTTGGTTTTGTGAGGTAGGGTCTCTCTATGTAACCCAAGCTGTCCTCGAACTCTTGGCGATCCTCTTGCCTCAGCCTCCCAAGTGCTGTGCACACCCCCACAGGCTGCTGAGCACGGCCTCCTGGTGGTCCTGGTGCACAGGTCTTCTCACTAGGTCCACCTTCCTGGCATCCCTGCCAGTTCCTGCTGCCTTGGCCACATCTGTCCTCATGGTGCTCTCTCCCTGGGCATGGAGGAGAGAGGCCTCACTGCCCTGATCCTAGTGACCATGTCCACCTCTGCCTGCAGCCCCAAACTCTTCCTTGCCCCTCCCTGTGACCCCACATACTCTGTGCCAGGATGATGCCCAGGTGTTGGGGTTCCCTGTTTCTCCTCCCTGCCTGGGGCCAGGAGCAGACCACAGCCCCACTCCAGCAGACAAGATGTGGGGTGCACAGAGGATGAATTCAGATTCCAGGTGCAGCAGGGGTCTCAAACACCTCCACCCCTGGCCGGCTGCCCCAAGCCTTGCCCACCTGTGCTCACAGGCGTCCTCCACACAGCAAGAATACAGCCTGTTCCCTGGCCAGCTGGGTGCAGGAGTCCTGGGAGGGTACTCTCCTGCCCTGAGGCCCCAGTGGGTACCACTGTGCCCTGTGACACTGGGGAAGGGGGAGAAGAAGGCAGCCAAGGTTGAACAGTCGGGGGCCCCCATCCTGATGCCAGCTGGACAAACCCCCCAGAGTCAGATCAACCCAAAAACCACATGGGGAGAGGCCACACTTCGGGAGGCTGGCAGGGCAGGTCCCAGCTCTGGGACTTCAGTGGCCGCTCCTCCCACAGGACAAAGACAATTCCGGTGCCACAGCCCTGCACCTGGCTGCTCGCTTCGGCCACCCTGAGGTGGTGAACTGGCTGCTGCGTTATGCCGATGCGGATCCCACAGTGGCCACAGACACAGGTGCCCTGCCCATCCACTATGCTGCCGCCAAAGGAGACTTCCCCTCCCTGCGGCTGCTCATCGGGGACTACCCGCAGTAAGGACCCGGTTGTGCACACAAGTGTGTGTGTGTGTGTGTGTGTTTGTGTGTGTGTGTGAGAGAGAGAGAGCATGGGGTCTGGGGCCCGGACCCAGAGCACGAGCTAAGCAAATGCTCTATCTGAGCTACACCCAGGCCAGGACTGCCTTTCTTTTTTTTTTTTGGTACCTGGAATAGGAATCAAACTCAGGGCCTTGTGATTGCCAGGCAAGCACTGTGTCGCTGAGTTACATCCCCTGCCCTTCTTTTGTTGTTTTTTAAAGCAGAGTTTTCACTATGTAGTTCAGGCTGGCCTTGAATTATCTGGGATACTTCCTGCCTCAGCCTCCCAAGTGCTAGAATTACAGGTGTGTGCCACTATGCCCATCATGCCAGACTGTTCAAAACAGGATGGCCAGACAGGAGCTCTGCAGTCAGGCAGGAGAGGAACCATGGTTGTCATCAGAATTCAAGGAAAGCTGCCCTTTCCTGCTCGCCCTCACCCCAGGCCCACAGCAGGTGGCCTGGCCATCAGAGAGTGTCCTTCCTTTCTTGTGTGCCCTTAGCCCATTCTCACTACCACTGGAGGATGGAATTCCCAAACCTCTGGGACCCCTGGCCTGAGGGTCTGGACTGGGGCTCCCAGGGTGGGGGGCCATATGGAATAAAGGGGCTCCCTGCAGAGCAGGAAGGGAGGGGGGCGAGTGAGGTCGTGGTGCCCTTGTGGCCAGGGGTCGAGGGAGCTGCCCAGCCCTGTCTGAGGCAGTTGGGGACTGGTGGACCTGAGCTGGCGGGGTTCCACCAGAAGCCTTGTCAGTCGATATGGGTGCCCAGGCCATGAGCCACAGAGATGGGCCGGATTCAGAAAGAGCCACTGCCAGGCGAGCATGAGAGGCCATCCTGGGCGTCTTTCTGGGGGTGCCTGGGTCACCCGCCACCAGGGAGCAGGCTGGAGGCCAGTTAGCCGCATGATGGCATGGTCCTGAGACCTGCTGGGCCTGGCTCCCGCTGTCCTTCCTGCCCATGTAGGCTGGGGCTGGAAGGAGACCCCACAGGTGCCCCACCCGCCCAGGAAGGGTCCACTTCACAGCCCCTCAGCAGTATAGATGTGGATTCTCTGCTTCAGGCCAAGCAATTAGGGGTGTAGAGCGGGAGGCCCTGGACACACAAGCTCAGGGTCCAGACTGCCATGGACATGACGTGTCCTTACCCCACAGCGTGATTTTTGATGATCAGTCCTAGCCACTCACTGCAAGGAGAGGACACTAGGGTCCTAAGCAGGGCGGGTCACACAGTGAGGAGAGTGCCCTGCTCCCCTGCTGTCCCTCTGCACTGGCTCCCCCAGAGGCCCAGGCTGGGGATGGGAGCCCGGCATGTGCACCACTGGACCCAGCTTGCCTGGATCTAGCCTAGGCGAGGCGCTGGCTGGGCCAAGACGCCCTCATGGGCTCTGGGCCTGCCAGATGCAGGTGTGATTGGGCCCTGTGCCCACTCTGAGGCCAGCTGGCCGGGTGGATGTGTGGGCACCCCAGAAGTGGCCATGAATCTCAGGGAAGTGGACAGGGCCTGGGCTCGCCTGGGCAGCAGTGCCTGTGAGCTGCTAAAATGTTTTTGTGTGGTTGCCAGGCAGAAGGGGCGGCCAGGAGCTGGGGAGGGGGCCACTGCAGCCACTGAGCATCCCACCTTGGGGTGTGGGGAACTGCTGCTCCAGAGGCTTGGATGCAGGGCTGAGTGCCGCGAGGGAAGAGAACAGCCTCTGCTCTGGTGAGCCTCTGGGCCTGCTGCGAAGCTCTGAATTATTCAGAAGGGCTCAGCTCTCTCCCTGGCCAGCAAGGATTGAAGGAGGCCTGTCCCCACTGTGGGAAACTCGATCCCACCGGGGGAGGCCATGGTGGTGACCAGGTGCCGGGGCACTGGCCGGCTGCACGGCCTCGGCCAGGCCCAGCCAATGCCAGGGCTGTGCCTGGGGGCATCAGGCTGGGCTGGACACTCCAGGACACCCTGCTCCTTCCTTCCTCCCTCCAGTCGGTCCCAGTTCACTGGGCCGAATCTTCCCAGGAGCAGTGGACTCACCACAGTGACCCGGAGGCTGCTGCCCTGGGGGAGATCTTCCCTCCAACCCCCTGCAGAAAGGGTCCCTTCGCGGGGAGGCATGAGGGATGGCAGCAGCTGGCTGGGGCTGTGCCAGGGTTCTGGGGCTGGAGCCGCCTCTGCCACGTTGGCTGCTGGCTGTCCTGGGGCCTGAGCAGTGGGAGGGGACCCCAGGCTCAGCCCAGACCTCCAGGCTTGGCCTTCAAGGCTGGGGATGGCTGGGAGCCCTGGGCTCCCACCGTGGGCTTGTGGGCTCTGCCAGTCACTCAACCGGACCAGGTGTGGAAAGTGCCCAGCCAGGATCCAGGCCTCAGAGAGCTCCTCCTGCTGAGTGCCTACGAGAGCCCAGCCCCGGAAGCACTAGTGTTTCTCCAGCATCTGCTACGTGCCAATTCTAAGAGCTGGGGACACGCAGGGCCCCAGGCAGATGTCCTGCCTCCCAGCTGACAGAACTGACACAGCGTCACTGAGAGGCCGGCTGACCAGCTGTGGGGCCTCTGGCTCTCTGTGTGGCTCGGGCAGACTGCACAGCCTGTCTGGCTCTATTTCCTAGCCCCGCGCAGGCCCCTTGTCTCAGGCGTGCTGGGATCTTCCTTTTCCGCTTCATTAGTCCATGGTTTCTGAAGCCTGGCTCAGCCCAGAGGGTACAGACAGTGTCCACTGGGGGGACAGGGGGCTTCTCACCCTTGGGGAGCCCTGGGGCTGAGGCTCCCGTTCCCTGCTGGGCTCCTGTTGTCAGGCAGCTGGGGTGCACGCGTTTTTGTTTGAAGCTAAACCTTTATGGGCACACTTCAGCTATACATAATGGTATCATTCCTCCTGTGGAGTTTGTACCTGCACAGCTTATGCATTCTTAATCAGCCCCTAGGCTGCCTTTGTGTTTGCAGGGGTCACCTGGGCAGCAGGGCCCGGGGGCGGGGCTTGTGCTGGGACATCCTGAGGAAGCCAGTGGCTGTGCTTGCCCCCCCACCCCGACTCCAGGGTAGGCTCTGGGAAAGGGAAGACTGAGGCAGGAAGATCTCAGCTGGGCTACACCGCGAGTTCAAGGCCGGCTCTCACTGCATAGCCAGACCCTGTGACAGAAAGCACTCCATGTTGCCATCATCCTTATCATGTAGCCCTGGGGCTGCCTCTTGTTTCAGGTCTTCTGTCCTCTTGGCCTCCTTCCTCCCTCCTCCCTGGCCTCATGCCACGCCCTCTGCCTCCTTTGAAGTCCAGGCTGCCCCTGCCCTCCTCCTTCCGGTCTGCTGGGGTCCCGCCTTCTCAGTGGGGCCAGCCCAAGCCTGAATGGACATGCTTACCCCTCCACCTCCATCCCCAGGGCCCCGACCCTCCGCTGGCAGCACGTTCCTCATGCCTCTGTGTTTCCTGCTGTCTGCCCCTGACTAACGAGGACAGAGGTCCCCTCAGCCAGGACCTGCACCTGACATGGTGTGGACGGCAGCTGAACTGGGGCCTGGAGCTCGGGCCTCTCCTGGCTGTGCTCACAGCTCGTGGTATGTGACCTTAGATGGGAGTCCCTTACTGGGCCTCCCCAACAGGCCAAGTCCACAGGTCCCCCGTGCTTGGGGACAGTGGGGGGCACTCATAGGGACAGACAGGGCTGCCCCAGAGCATGGAGCTGCTGCTTTCCCACCTCTGCCTGCTCAGCACAGCAGCAGCCTCTGATGTGTGCCCAGGAGGAACTCTCCCTCTGAGGGGTCAGCAGAGTCCTCTCTGAGGATCCGAGAGTGGATGTTTAGAACCTTCCTCAAAACATCGATGTCCCGGACTGGGAATGTAGCTCGGTGGCACCGTTCCTGCCTTGAAAGAGCAAGGTCCTGAGTTCAATCCCCAGTACCGGAAAAAACAAAAACCATCGCTGTTTCCCCTGGACAAAGCCTGATTGGGGATCTTGAAAGATAACCAAGAAGCATTCAGAACAGCCCTGGCAGCAGGAGATTTATCCTGGGGGCAGTGGACCTCCTGCCCTCCCTTGGGGCGGAAGTGACTGGCAACAGGCCTGGCCACTGGAAATGTTGCTTTAAAAAAAAAATGGGGATCGAACTCGGGTCCTTGCATTTGCAAGGAAGGCGCCAGCACCACTGAGCTAAATTCCCGGCCCTGGAAATGTTGCTTTTTGACCAGAGTTTGATTCCAAGGGTGGAAGGGTCACTCCCTATTCCTTGGGGCAACAAGCGTGAACAGCACGCTGGCACAAATGTGGACAGAGGTCTCTAGCTCTTCCTGGCAGACGTTTCATGTTCTCATTGTACAATCGGGGTGACTTGCTTAATCGTTACAGTTTGTCCATGTCATCTTTTTTTTTCCCAAGAGGAAGAAGAAAAACATGAGATTTTTATGATCACTGCAGTGTCTCAGCTGCTTTCCTTGTTGAGGCTGACTTCGGCTTACAGTTGTAAGAGTTCAGTCCGTAGTCCACTGCTCCAGGGCAGGGCCCCAGGGCAGAGGGGCCTGGCGGAGAAAAGCTGTTCTTGGCATGGTAGCCAGGAAGCCATGTCAAGGGAGGAGGAGGCCAGGCCAGGACCCCCGGACCCGCCCCTTCTGACCAGACCCAGCCTCTTAACAGCAAGTCAGCTGGGGGCCCCTAAGATCAAATTGCTTTCCAAAATCCCTGCCTCTATGTGCCTGAGGCTTTGGAGGGGCATCTAGGAATAAACCACACCAGCCAGGAAGCCTCAGACCCACAAGGGCTTGGGTCAGGAATCTGAAGACTCCAGAGTTTGAGGTCAAGATGAAGGCAGAAGCTGTAGAGGTACAGCTCCAGGATAGAGTCCTTGCCTAGCAGGCGCAAGATAGGCATTCAGTCCCCAGCATCATCATAGTGGGACAGTGCGGGGCCCTACACTGAGGTGAGGTGTTCAAAAGAGAAAAGAGATCTGACTCCAGCTAGCAGAGTTGGAGAAGCCAGCTCCATGTGCAGATAGACACATGGTCTGGTGTGGCCGGGCAGGAGGGAGAGGAGGGAGAGGCGGGAGCTGCTCCAGGTACACAGCTGGCCTGGGATCCTGGAAGGAGATGACCCAGAAGAGGTGGACCTGGGTATGTCACCTTCTGGAGTCAGGCGGGGCCAAGTTGGCTGAGTTGAGGGACCTGGAGGAGTAGGGGCTGAGGAAGGAATGGCCGGGGAACAGGAGAGATGGCGGTGGTGACACGTGGCAGTGGCATCTGGACGTGCATGGCCTTGGAGGTTGGGACACGGCAGCCGCTGGGGGACACATTGGTTCTGCTCTCCACACAGACAGAAAGAAGCCAGACCGTGATGTGCCCATTTACCCTGAGGGAACTGAGGCTGGGACAGGGCAGAGGCTTGGTCCTGTGGCTGCTGCAGTGGTCAGGACCAGAACAGATGGGCTGGAGGTCAGTGGCCCAAAGGCAGCGTCCTCCTGGCAGAAATGGTGCCTGGCTTTGCGGAGACCCCTGGGACAGCAGTGGCTGGTCCTCCCAGGCACGGGGAAGAGGCGTGCTGGGCCACATCTTGGGTGGGCTTAGGCAGGGTGGGACAAGGGCATGGCACTCACACCAGGGCCCTGAGCCCAGATCCAGGGTTCCTGTGGTGCCCGTCCTGACCCTGATCTTCCTGCAGTGAGCTCTGCAGAGGCCAGTGGTTTGGCTGTGAGGCAGGCAGACAAACAGCCAGATAGCCAGAGCAGGTGGACACAGCAGTCCCACAGACCCAGCTCACATCATGTCTCTGCCTGATCTGTGTTAAGCAATCTCAGCCCCTGTGCCTCAGTCTCCTTGTCGGTGAAAGAGGAGCAAGGCCAATACCCACCCTGCAAAGCCCTGGCAGGATCAGGGGAGAGAAGGTGGGCATCACAGGTATCAGTGCTTGGAACGGGAAATCGGTCCCCAAACAGCGGCTGCTATCACTACTGCTACTCTTTTATTTTATTTTTTACACTGGGGATTGAATTCAGGACCTTGTGCTTTCAAGGCAGGAGCAGAACCAGTGAGCCAGGCCTGGGGATTTAGCTCAGTGGTGCTGCCGCCTACCTCTTGAGCACAAACACCTGAGTTTGATCCTGGTATCAAAAAACCCAAAAAACAGAACCACTGAACTAAATCCGCGACCCTGCTGTCACTCTTTTTATTACTGCTATTATTCATTCATCTCTCCGGGATCAGTTCTCTTTGCACCTTATTCTTACTGTATTTTATTTATTTATTTTGGTACTGGGGATCGAACTCAGGACCTTGTGCTTGCGAGGCAGGTGGGCCTTGGTGACAGAGTGAATAATTCAGGCTGCTGTGTGTGGGCCATGAAATATTCAATAGCTGTTTCTGCAAAGCAGCAGGAGCACATGCGCAGGGGGAGTGTGGACCCGGGAGGGACTGTGGCAGGGGACCCGCCCACCCACTCTGCCCTGCGGGTGGGGTGCAGGGAGGCAGCCTGGCACAGCACCTGCTCTCCCCAAACTCCAGCGTCCCCTCAGCATCAGCCCTGAAAAGAGCAGCTCCTCGTGCCAGGGGCATTGCCTAGGCCTAAGGGGACAGAGAGCCCAGAGGGCCAGGACTCCAGACGCAGGACACACGGAAAGCAGAGGCTTTGGAGCCAGGGAGAGACCTTCCGGAGCAGTGAGAGGGCACCAGGGCGCCAGGTTGAACAGTGGGGAGGGAGGGCCCGGCGGATGCAGGTGGCACGTGTGCCTTATGAGGCGCATGAACAGATGCAGGGGGCATTTGGGGGTGAGGATGTGCAGAACTGCGCTCTGGGGTACCCAGGACTCCATCGGAACACAGCAGGGCACAGCTCCCACCTTGAGTTTAGACTTGGGTCGTGGTAGAGTGTGGCTCCCCCTAGTGGTCTTTGTTGTAATTATACTCTGGGAGGCCCACTTCCGGCAGCCCAGTGTCCTGGCCAGCTTCTGGAGTACCTAGCAACACCCTGCTGTGGGGCTGGCTCCCTGCTCTGCACAGCGCCTGCCTAGATGAGCAAAGCCCTGGGCTCAAATCTCAGCACCCCACCCCAAAACAGGACTGGCCTGCTAGTGATGGTGCACACCTATAATCCTAGGTCCTCGGCAGGCTGAGGATGTAGCACCGTTTGATTCAACCCCAGTAAGAAAACACCTGCTGGCACCATAGCACCGGGAGGTTCTTTGTATAAGATTGCTAGATTAGTGACAATGACAACACCGAGGTTGTACAATTAACTGAATCTCAGGCAAATAATGTTGCAGTGTAAATTCGTCCCTGTGGTATTTGAAATCTGTGAAAACATTGCTTGATGTTTAGCTGAAGTGCGGGTCTCGCTGGGCTTCCCGTATGTTCCATGGCACCCCTGCCACCCTGCGGTACTCTGAGCCCCAGGCTGGGAGCAGCAGTGTTAACCAAGCATGCAGGGCATCCCAGGAGGGGCACAGGGGAGACCAAGGGAGGCCTCATGGAGGAGGGGTCTGTCCTGAGTCTTGAGTGGCAAGGGTGGGCGCGCACTGCAGGTGGAAGGACGTGAGCACAGAGTGAGTCTGGACTCTTGGCTACTAAGTGTGGCTGCAGAGGGAGTCGAAGCCAAGGCGTGATGTCCCTGCGGCACTGGTAAAGGGTGGGACTGCTTCCTGAGGGCAGGAAGCACTGAGTTAGGCATTTCACAGAAAGGCTGCTGGGCTGGGGCATGGTTGTGCACACCTGTAATCTCAGCATTCTGGGAGGCTGAGGCAGGAGGGTTCCTAAGTAGGACCCCCAACCTGGGAGACTTAGAAGATCCTGTCTCAAAAATAATAAATAAAAGGGCTGGGAGGTAGCTCAGCTGGAGCCAGAGTCCAGAGGCATCAGGACAGACAGTGAGGAGGCCCCCTCCAGCTCGCTGTCCCAGACCCTGGGCCCGCACCCCCGGCTCGAAGCAAGGAGTGTAAGTAGACTCTGGAGGTGGAAGGCGCTGAGAACCCACCGCACTCTGCGTCTCCGCAGGGGAGTGAATACCCAAACCAAGAACGGTGCCACGCCCCTGTACCTGGCGTGCCAAGAGGGCCACCTGGAGGTGACGCAGTACCTGGTGCAGGAGTGCGGCGCGGATCCGCACGCGCGCGCCCACGACGGCATGACCCCGCTTCACGCAGACTCTGGAGGTGGAAGGCGCTGAGAACCCACCGCACTCTGCGTCTCCGCAGGGGAGTGAATACCCAAACCAAGAACGGTGCCACGCCCCTGTACCTGGCGTGCCAAGAGGGCCACCTGGAGGTGACGCAGTACCTGGTGCAGGAGTGCGGCGCGGATCCGCACGCGCGCGCCCACGACGGCATGACCCCGCTTCACGCTTCACGCCG